TTCTTAACACTTTACCATTCCATAACTATTGATATTCATTGACTATTACAAATCTTTCCTACCGAGCCCTTGTTTTTATATTTGTCGCCTAGGTCCTCAATAGTTCCTATATTTGATATGCCCTCAAAATATAAAGAAAATAGTATTTTAAACTATAACATCATTGAGACTAGGTAGTTAAAACAAACAAAGGATATGGCCATGATAACATATATAGATTTTTTTTTTCAAATATATTAAAATCGCTTCCCCAATCAAATTTATGTTTAACTTAACATGTAACTCAACGAAACCATAGTCATCCAAAACTTAAAATTTTTAATGAGCGTAATCGTGATTTAAATGCTTAAATTGAGTAAACTAGATTTACAAATCAAATCATTCTATAGTAATTTGAAAGTATGACATTTTTATTAAAAAGAAACTAAATTTTGAGAAACTCTCAATCCAAAGAATCATAAAGATTTTTAAAAAGGTGAGCAAATCAAGTTTAAATCATTCAAAACTATTTTTTCTACTTTCAGAGTTTCCTTTTTAACTACCAATCATTCACAAGGTTAAGAAATAACAGTTGCTTCGAACGTCAAACCTTTTTTTTCAAAAAATTTGTGAAATTTTGGTCTTCCATATTTTTAAATTAAATAAGTTGGATCTCAAACAAACCAAAAAGATTAAAGTTGATTTTCAAATTTAAAATTTTCTATTTTATACTTTAAAACATTAAACATCTCACAAGAGTTAAATCCCAACAATTCCTCCTGTGTCTCCAAAGCTTAATGCGGGAATCTCAAAATAATATTTATTTGTAGTACTTTTAAGTTTCATCATTTAATTTTCCTTATTTCTATGTAATTGTGGATTTGCACGCACGCACGCACTACACTTCTTCCAATTCCTCCTGTGTCTCCAAAGCTTAATGCGGGAATCTCAAAATAATATTTATTTGTAGTACTTTTAAGTTTCATCATTTAATTTTCCTTATTTCTATGTAATTGTGGATTTGCACGCACGCACGCACTACACTTCTTCCAATTCCTCCTGTGTCTCCAAAGCTTAATGCGGGAATCTCAAAATAATATTTATTTGTAGTACTTTTAAGTTTCATCATTTAATTTTCCTTATTTCTATGTAATTGTGGATTTGCACGCACGCACGCACTACACTTCTTCCAATTCCTCCTGTGTCTCCAAAGCTTAATGCGGGAATCTCAAAATAATATTTATTTGTAGTACTTTTAAGTTTCATCATTTAATTTTCCTTATTTCTATGTAATTGTGGATTTGCACGCACGCACGCACTACACTTCTTCCAATTCCTCCTGTGTCTCCAAAGCTTAATGCGGGAATCTCAAAATAATATTTATTTGTAGTACTTTTAAGTTTCATCATTTAATTTTCCTTATTTCTATGTAATTGTGGATTTGCACGCACGCACGCACTACACTTCTTCCAATTCCTCCTGTGTCTCCAAAGCTTAATGCGGGAATCTCAAAATAATATTTATTTGTAGTACTTTTAAGTTTCATCATTTAATTTTCCTTATTTCTATGTAATTGTGGATTTGCACGCACGCACGCACTACACTTCTTCCAATTCCTCCTGTGTCTCCAAAGCTTAATGAGGGAATCTCAAAATAATATTTATTTATAGTACTTTTACACAATGCTCTTCTTTAATTGCGGTCAAATTATTCAGTAATTGCGTTCAAATTATTCAGATCCATGGGACTTTCTTTGCTTCTCAAGACTTGAGAAAAAAATTATAAGGCACACACGCGCGCATTTCTAATGCTCTCCTTTAATTGCGTTCAAATTATTCAGATCCATGGGACTTTCTTTGCTTCTCAAGACTTGAGAAAAAAATTATAAGGCACACACGCGCGCATTTCTAATGCTCTCCTTTAATTGCGTTCAAATTATTCAGATCCATGGAACTTTCTTTGCTTCTCAAGACTTGGGAAAAAAATTATAAGGCAGGAAAGAGTGCCTAAACTCAATGAGTAGGGTTAGATAACCCTCTCACCCCACATAATCACAAATATGATAATCATATTATCCAATCGGTAGCCTTTTGACTAATTATGAATGAGCAAGCGAGCATCAATTTCACACTTATCAAACAGATCACAACAATTCAAGTAATCAAATAGTGGATATTAGTCTGTGTCACCTATTGTAAACAAGTAGCATGCTCACCCCAAAAGTATGCTTTAATAGATTTTTTTTTTTTTTTTTTTTTTTTTTGAAGTTATAATGAGAAAACTTTATTATGAAATCAAGAATCAAGTAGAGCAGGAGGTGGTACAGAATTCCAAGTCCCCAAGCCTGCTTTCGGAAAGATGTTCCAACTGTAACGTATGTCCAGCCACATTCGCGGACCTGTAAACAAAAATTACATTTGCGTTCGCAGACCTGTAAACAAAATTACATTTTGCGACTGGTATCTCAGACAAAAGAGATTTGCAGTCCTGAATTATCAAACCAAAAGCAGACGAGTCATTTGTATTATCATTGTTGATGGCATTTGCAACTGACTGAGAATCGGTTTCCAACAAAATATAATTCCATCCGTGATCCTTGATCCACCCCGACAAACCCGAAAACCACTCAGAGTACCATCCTGAATAGACAGTCGAATCATGTTTGATAAACCTTCAGCACAGATGATGAACAAGGACGGGGATAGAGGGTCTCCCTGACGTAAACCCCGAGTGGGGATATTGGGCCCAAACTCTCTGTTATTCTGCAAAATCCAGTACTTGACCGAAGTGAGACTAGACATGATAAGATTAATCCATAGAGCATGAAAACCCAACTTAGTTAGTATCTGACGAAGAAAAGACCACTCCATTATGTCGTATGCTTTGCTGATGTCCATTTTGACAGCTGTAGAAAAATCAGAACCCCTAGTCTTCCTATGAAATGCATGTCAAGCTTCAAAAGCAACAATACAGTTATCCTGAATGCTCCTACCTGCAATAAAGGCACTCTGGCTTTCCGAAATCAAAAGAGGAAGAATAGAGCGAAGACGATTTACAAGTAGCTTAGTAATGATTTTTAATAGAAAATTGCAAAGGGAAATCGGTCTCAAATCAGTCATAGATTTAGGGGAGGATTTCTTAGGAATCAAAACTAAACCAGTCACATTCAAATGATCAAGAATACACCCGCTGTGAATTATCTCAATACAGTTCTGAGCAATATCGTTACCTATAATGTCCCAGTAGCCTTGGTAGAAACCAGGATTGTAGCCTTGGTAGAAACCAGGATTGAACCCATCAAGTCCCGGGGCTTTGTCGGCCTTCATGTCGAACACTGCTGCCTGAACATCCTCAACTGAGTAAGGAGCTAACAAGAACTCATTTTGCTCCTCTGTGATAACAGGCTGGGTAAGATCGGAAACCAACGTAGAGGTGCAATTTTGGGAAGCAAACACATTAGTAAAATAACGTACCATTAGATCCCCTAACCCGGAGTTCAAGTGACACCAATTTCCAAATTCATCACGCAAAGAAGAAATTCGATTCTGTTGCTGTCGGGCTGAAGCTCTTCTATGGAAGAAACGGGTGTTAGCATCCCCTTCACGTAGCCAGAACTCTTTGGCTCGCTGTTTCCAAAAAATTTCCTTTTGTAACAATAATTCCTGATACCTATTTTTTGCTTCTAGAAACCGGACATTATCCCCTGCGGTACGAGAACCTCGTGTAGCAGCCATCACAGCCATGCAAGTCGCAAATTCACCTTTTTGATAGTGGCGAAGTTCTTCCCCCAAACGTCGAGAAGTGCTCTGCAGCGAGAAATCCGTTCAGCTAAGGCCATACCCGCTGTCTCTAACTAACAACTCGTAACCAGATCCTTACAACCAGCCTCCCTCCTCCAGCTATTCTGGAACCGAAATCGTCTAGCCTGATACAACCAGCCTCCCTCCTCCAGCTATTCTGGAACCGAAATCGTCTAGCCTGAGCCCTAGGCACAAAGTGGCGTATTTCAAGGTAAATCGGAAGATGGTCAGATGAAGACTTATCAAGAACCATAGCCCGAGCTTGAGAGAAATTTCGTCGCCAAGAATCAGTGGCCAGACACGATCAAGTTTTGCCTCAATTAAATTGCCGCTAGAGCGACCATGTTCCCAAGTGAAGGCATAACCAGACATAGGAAAATCAATCAAATGTGCATCCGAGATAGCAGTTTGGAATTCCCGAATAAGATGATTAGCTGAGCTCTACCCCCTCTCTTTTCAGACGAAGCAAGAATATCATTAAAGTCGCCTAAACACAACCATGGCAAGTCGCTGTGAGAAGCTAAAACCCGAAGTAATTGCCAAGAATTATTTCTTCTGGTTCTATTTGGGTCACTATAGAAACCTGTGACCACCAAAAACCAAAACGAGGCAAATCCACTTCAACATCTATATATCTAGGCCCGGAACTAATAAGATTTACTAACGAAACACCCTTCCAAAGTAATGCCAAACAAAGTAATGCCAAACCACCACTATGGCCAACACAATCAACATTAACAAAACCATCATAATCTAATAAAGATTGTATTTCCGCAATTTTATTAGAAGCACAAAGGGTCTCAATAAGAAAAATAAAATTTGGCTTCTTATCACTAATCATATCCCGTAAAGTACGTACTGCACGTGGATTACCCAGTCCACGACAGTTCCAGCTTATGGTACTCATGTCTGATGGCGGGTCAGACTCACGAAACCCACCAATAGCCCCATTTTTTGAACTTGAATTGTTGTAGAGAGTTCTTCATCTTTGTCAAAAATAAGACTATCCTCTTTCGCACCATTGACTGATAAGATAGTCACCTCCCCCGAAATTTGGTCTTTATCCTCCATTAGAAAATGACAAAATCTAAACCAAAATACTCTCCGACAAAATCTAAACCAAAATACTCTCCAGGAAGAGAGACGGAACAACTCTCTAGGAAGAGAGACAAAACAACTTCAGAATCAAAACTGCAGATAATTAGAAGCAAGAAAGACAGCTTGCAACATGTTCACGTTCATAATGTAGCTCCTTATTCACTCTGTCATTTTTACAAACACTTGGTAGGCTTCACTCTGTCATTTTTACAAACACTTGGCAGGCACATATTTCCATCGAAAATATAACATCTTTCTCCATTTAAACCAAATCTTTAGTATTCAAAACAACAGACATCTATCTCAAATTTACCATTCCCACAATATAGAAACAGATTCATAGACGGCTGAACAGTAGTGGAAAACACAGAAGACGAAGAGCATGAAGCAATACCCGACGGAGACGCCAAGTTCAGCCATTTAGCAGCTTCGGATGGTGGACTTTAGCCAGAAAAAGTCATCGGTAAGGTAGCAGTGGTTTGACGGAAGGGAAGCTTTTCAGATCATGCGTTAATGAAAGAAGATGATGATGATGATGATGTCGCCGCTCTCCAGAATATCAGACATAAGATTTTTTTTTTTTTTCTTCTTCTGCATCCATCCCATGATCCTTATGTCAAGTGCACTTGGGGACCCCACCCCCCGTTTGGGCTTAATGACCCCGTCCATCAAATAATCCTTTTCTTTTCTTTTTTATTTTACCTTTCTTTTTCGCTTTTTTTTCTTTTATCACTAATGTGCATCAAATCAAGGAGTGCACATGGGGCGCCACTCCACCCGCTTACGGCGCACTGACGGCATTCTCACCATACTCGTGCTCTCACCCTAGGGTGACCCACATCATTGGTAGTGCTCTAGATCGGAATCCATAAATCAGAGCACATGGAGCCATCTTCTTATCTTTCTGCCAAGAGAATTATGGTAGACAACTGATTATTCCAACTCCACAGTACATCACAAACAAATCACGTCCAATCACAAAAACTTCACATCATATGCACAATGTAAAATATCCAATATCCTATATATTTCAATGTATAAAAATATACATTCGATGCGGTTCATGGCACATATGCCTAAATGGCATTACTACATGTGTACGTGCTTCAGATAGGTATCATATTATTTATGTATGCATGAATGCAAAATGCTTGAACGATGTGGATTATCTAACTCTACTCACAATTCTTTATCGTTTTTAACAGGACTATCTTTATTACTGCTCCCTTCTAGCTTTTGTCTTGTCATTCTTCAACCTTATAAGCATCTAGAAAGAAAATTCTAAGAATTTTAATTCAAGAAATTTAATTCTCATTCATTTATTAACTTTGACCAATATAGCAGCTTTACTATTTGTTTATTTATTTATTCTAATTGCTAGTTTTAATAAGGCTTATGGTTCTTTGATAATTTATGTTTTATAATACCAATAACTATAGTAGTTTTTCCTATTAATAATATAACTAATCTAGCTATTTATAAAGTGTTTTGCCCAAAATCCGGCAACATTTCATTTGTAATTTGGAATGTCCATACTTTATAAATCACATTATCAATACAGTTCACAGAGTGCATCCATCAAGTAATTCACAATAATATCCTATCCGCCGTTTCTAATATTTCACAATCACAATATCAATACTTATTATATCTTTAATTAAGCTCATTAATGTAAGTAATTAAACATTTAGTTATACATACATATATCATTCTTGCCCTATATATGCATAGCCCTATATCATATATATATATATATATATATAATATATATATATTTATATTATATGAGAAATAACTTAACATTATTTGCTTAATCATTTCAAATAACTTAAAAGTAACAAAGTCTCATATATGAGAATAACTAATTATTTGCTTAATCATTTCAAATACTAAAGCTAACAAAGTCTCATTTAATAATATTGTCTAATAAAAATCATATTCAATTAATTTAATATTTAATCAGAATTAATTTAATCAAATAATTAATTCAAATTTTAGAATTTAAATCAAAAATAGGGAACTGGATCTTAAATTATACCAATCAAAAATCGGCTCGCGGATTCGAGTTCAGAGCGAGGAAACAGAGATTCTGCCTCTTGGGTCTCGCCGGAGCCTCGCTGGGCAGTCACCAAAGCCTCGTCGGCCAGTCATCAAACCACTAACACCGACTGCCATGCACAGTGGTCAAAAAGTCGGGCTTTACCAGAATTAGGTTATTTATACATCCCCAGGCTCGAAATTTCACAAAGAGCTCAATTTCGGTGTCTAATCATTGAATCAGTGGCCCGTTTGGTCGGAAAAGCTCCGACAACCACTAAATCTCCATTGCTTATGGTGTTTTAGTCCCCCATGCTCCACCACCGAAATTGGAGGGAAAATGATAGTATGGAAGAGAGAGTCGACCGGTGTCTACCCTTAACACTAGAACTGCCGAAAATGGTGTGAATCGCCAAAAAATCAAATTGCCATAGTACTGAAACCTTCTTTCTTTGTTTTCTCCTTAACGCGGCCACCACAGCCGGATTCAAGGCTATATTCAGGTCTGCCTCATTGAGGAGATTGTTTTAAGTACTTGCTTATCAGGTTTAATCGCCGATGGTTAGAGAATGAAGGGAGAGAAGGGGATAAGGTTGTCGATCTCTGGGAGAGAGGGAGAAGGAAGAAAAATGTAATATCTCTCCTTCAGTGATAGGTTATCTACCTCGATCCGGTCCAATTCAAGCTTGGTTTGATTTTATTAGGGTTCTAGAGGTTTCTTTCGGTTTTTGGACGGTTTAAGTCTAGTTAGGCAGTTTTTTCTTTTTATTTCCTTTTGGTTCGATTCATGAATATTGAATAAAATTATCTTTAATTAATTTAAATTCAAAAACTTATAAAAATAAAATTTTGCGTTATTTCAAGATGTTTTTGGTTGTTAATCATATTACAGGATATTGGAAAATAAAATATTAATTTTAAAATCCACGCAATGCAGAATGGGGTTTCACTATAAACTTTTATAATGTGTGCATATATACATATATATGCCTTGATCCGTAGCTGTCGGTCTTAGTTTCTTTAGTTTAATCATTGTCTTCAGTATAAGATTTCAGTGTCTTTTTTTCCAAAAGGATTCGAATTTCCTCTTTAACTGTTACTAATACAGCTTGCAGACTTTATAGAGCTTTGACCATCTGTTCCTAGGTCAGCTCCAATGGCAAGTTGTTCCAGATTTTGCTTGGTGATCCTCCTTTAAAATCCTGTTTAGAAAAGGATTGTCGCAGTTTTGGTTTCTCTTTTTCCTGTAAGTTTTATTGGTATGAATATTCCAACTTTTAACCATAATGTTATTTTATAAGGGGGTCAAATAAATAATATAATATTTCTAGAAAATTGTGATTGAGAAAAGATGAGAAAGCTAAAAATTTGTGAGCATGCTTGTGCACAGAGGATAGAAACTATGATTCGAAGTAGAACAATAGGTTGGGGCATTGTCGAAGGAGGAGTACCTACATACACTCCCATACTTAAGTTAGCAAGAGAATTATAGAGAATTAAAAAAATATAATTAAAATTGATTGAGTATATTTTGAGGTGGGATATGAAATCCTTTATATAGACGTTTAGAGGACTCTTCACAGTTTATTGTTTAAGAGTACTAGTAGTTAGTATTTGACTTTCTGGGATAATCCGTATTTGACAAGGAATAGGACTTGCCTCATGTCTAATATAGATGTTGTTCAGCTGTAGTTACATGATTGCTCAAGCTTGGGCTGGGCAATGTCCTCTTTGTGTTGGCTTGGGCTGTACTGACGTGGCAAAATCTGTTACCGTTTGGCAACACAGCTTTTCAAAAATCAATAGTTTTTATTTTACCATCCTAACTTTATACTAAATAATCAAAAGCCCAATTAATAAAATAAAATAATTAATCTTTAATATTTTTAAATAACAAAAACTATTTACTTTAAAAATAGAACATCTAAAAAATGTGTAACTAATAGATTTTATCATCTAAAAATATTAAAAGTTTCTATTTATTTTACTTTTGGTAAAAATTAGGCTTTTTAGTCATTTGGTGTAAAGCTAGAATGGTATTTATACAAAAAGTGTATTTTTAAGCAAACTGTATATTATTCTTACGTTCGAAAGCAAATTGACCATTATTCCTATCAAAAGTACTAGTCTTTCAGATCCAACTCACTATTCAAGAAAAAGAAAATTAATACGACAGTCATAAAATGAGCTATAGTCCTTATTTAGTCCTAGTATTTGGTTAATTACACTACTAAGGATCTTTGTTTTCAAAATTATATTTATCTAGTCCCTGTGTTATTGGACCGATTACAATAGGAATGAGCAAATGTTTGAACTAAACCGAATTGAAGTTTAAAACAGCAAACCAAAGTTTTAGGATCAAAATCAAATCGAACCAAAGTTGCTGTCAGAATCAAACTGATGAAAATCAAACCAACTTGGTTTGGTTTTCTTTTTTTTTTTTTTTTAAATATTTGATCAGATCTTTTTAGTTTTAAGCCTAATCGAAAATTCGAGAACCAAACTTTTGTGAGCAAGCTAACCAAATTGAATCGAATAGTGTCAGTTCGATTTTCGATTTAGTTGGGTCAATCATTTTGCTCACCCATCCAATTATTATTTTTTTCGTTCAACGGTTATATCAAAAAGCATTCTATATAGCCCCACGGTTTGATCAAATAAACTAATAAAGACCTCAATTGTTAACATTATTCTATCTATTCATAATGTTATCAACTTATTCTATTTGTTTGCCTAATTACTATAAAGGTATTTTTGTATAATCACATTCGCATTATTTGACTTTGCACTTTTTATAATTATTTTTATTGAATAACTGAAAGGAAATAAATTTTGGGAAAATAATTATTTAGTCCTTGAGATTTTACAAAATTAATTTTTGAGTCCTTTGGAGTTTTGTATATTAGATATTTAGTTCCGGAGGTTATCGTCTCGTGAGGAGGTCCCTCCGTCCGAGATCTAGTGATTTATCTGTTAAAAGTGCGTACAAAGACGAATTTGAGGAGAGTGAATATTTTTAAAATGACTAAATGTGCCCTTAATGAGAAAAACAAATGTTTTTATAATCCTCAACTATTCCAAACTCATCTTAAAACTGAAAACGCAAAAGCTAGTGTTTGTGCCGCTAAAAAAATTGAAAACATGTCCGTATCAAGCGCTGGTGACAATCCATGGGAGGGAAGGTTTGTAAATTGGTATTGTAAGTGTGGGAAGAAAGCGAGTATAAGGATTTCTGAGACAAGGGATAAGCATCGTTTGTATTACAACTGTGTCGACAATGTATGTGGGTCATTTCTAGGAATGAGTGATTGTAGCCAAAGAATGGAGAATAGCTATAATGAGGTGAGGCAAAGGAGCATACCCGCTAGTGTAAATGACATGAAGGAGGATAGTTTGCTTCTGCAGTCTGAGATTCGAAGGATCGCATGGAGGCTGGAACACATAGAAGCAGAGCTGGGTTCTCTGAAGATGATTTTTGGTGTCTTTATGATGGGCATAATGATGCTATTTGTGATTTTAGTGATTGTTGTTTGCAAGGCAAAGTAGGGCAGGTTGTGGTAATGAGTTTATTAAGGTGTTGTTCACTAATGGTTAAACCTTTTTATTAAATGCACTGTCAATGGTGGTTGAAGTTACGTTTATTGTACCGCTGGCCTCATTAATGGAATGAAAGTCAAAATCTTTTCATCTCTAAACTTATGATCTCTTACTTGACATCATTGAATATGGAAGCAACATGTGCATAAAAAAAATAACAATCCGTGCAATATGGGTAAATAATTAAAATTTGATTTCATTAATCAATAGTTGAGTTGATCTATTAGAAAACAAACTCAACATCCACATGTTTAGCATTGAGTGTTCCTTATAACACAACATTCAAGTGTCACTTGTAAGACAAAAAGGCATATTTTATGAATATCCTAACACCTGTATGTGTTCAAAAGGCAAAATAAACAGCTGTTGTGCAAGTTTATACCACATTTACTATTGTCAAAATAATTATGTAAGCTGCCCTACTTGGCATTCTCATCCTAACAATATCTATGACCACAGAGACAAGAACCAAAAAGTGTTAGCAGTCCCTATTTGCCTAATGCATAACTATTTGCAGCAGCTTCATAAAAAAAACTCCTTCGATAATTTGATGTAGAAACTGATCCAGTAGTGCCTTCTACACAACATGACCCATTTGCACCACCATCTCTCACCTAAGTAGTCTGCTTCTTACCCCTACAAATCACAGAAAAAAAATGAAACATTATAAAACCATCAATGCAAAATGAAAAAGTAAAACAGTTTTATAGAATTTTATACCTTTGCAGCAACTGGAGGGGCTTTCTCACATGTCCTAGTACAGTGAAGAGGAGTTCCACTGTTAGGTGTGCTTTTTGCAAGCAGCTAGGGCACAACAAGAGATGGAATGAATCACACCACTGTATGTCTCCACTGTTAGGTGTTCTCCTCTCTCTTGGTCCGCCTACCTTTCTTTTAAGTTCTGGTGGACAAACTTTGGGAAATTGAGTGTCAGGCTGCATGCTATAGCAAGGGATGGGATGAATCACACCATTGTATGTCTTTTTATACATCTCCACAATAAAATATTCATGACAATAATCTTCAATATTTGCTCTTTTATAGCCAATTGCAACAACAGCATGCTTGCAAGGCACTCCAGAGATTTCCCACCAACTCTCCACAATAAAATATTCATGACAATAATCTTCAATATTTGCTCTTTTATAGCCAATTGCAACAACAGCATGCTTGCAAGGCACTCCAGAGATTTCCCACCAACTACAAGTGCAAGTTTTCTTATTCAAGTCAACAACAAAGGAAATAGGTCCTTTAGTAACCTCATACTCATTTGACTTACTTGGCAACATCTTGCAGAAACAGCTCTCCTTGATAATCTTACTCAAATTTGCCCTACAAATTGGTGTTACTCTACCGACCCAACTAGATGCCTTGATAACCTCTTATGCAACCTCACCATACATTTTTTTTTCTTATATTGTCAATAAGGGTCACAATAGGTTTGTTCCTCAACTTGTCCACCCAACTATTAAAGCTCTCAGTTATGTTATTGACCAACCATGCTGCTGGTTTTCCTTCATGTTTATTCTCGATATTTTTCATAAATTGCCTAAATTCATATAAATATGTTGCTTTTGCAGCCATCCAGAATTCCTTTCTCAACATAACTCCAGGAAATTGCTTTTTAAGGTTTATGAGGAGATGTCTACAATAATATCCATGAGATGCATTGGTAAAGTGCAATCTTATAGCCTCTATTAAGCCCTAAGAAATGCAATTACACAATTCAATCAACAATAAAATGATATTAAGTATAAACTAGCTCAATTATATTTACTTTAAATGAATGCATTACACTTAATAACTAAGTTTAATATGACATGCTTAAAAAACAAAATTGCAAAACACACAAATATATAAAATAAAAACATATAAAACACACACCTTTTGTCGATCTGACATGATAGTCCACGGCTTGTGTTCAGTTCTACCTCCAATGCATTGATATAGGCAGTCCAAGAAAAAAGTCCAACTTGCATGACACTCAGATTGCACAATTGCACTCAAGAAATACCCTATTCCCATCTACACTTACTACACTCAAGAAACACCCTCCAAAAGGACCTTCTGATTATGCTCCATCAAGTCCAATAAGGGGCCTACAACCTTCTAAAAATCCCAAATAAAGATGCTACTGAACTTTATAGGGTCAAAATCTGGCAGCCTAGGCATTGATTCAAATTTCACAAAAGACCCAGGATTAGACCTTTGCAAATTTTCTATGTATTGATGCAAGTTGTTATAGCTCTCTTCATGAGACCCTTCAGCCTTTTGTCTTGCCAAATGTCTAACCTTGTGCAACTGCCAATAATCTAGCTCAATACCCCATGTTTTACTTGATTCACTTTGCATAAAATCAAAACTTATGTTTGGGTCAGCAACCAATTGACCAGCCAAATTCTTCTTCACTCATTTAGTAGTAGCATTAGGATTTTTGTTACCAACGGGCCTTATGCAATTATGCTCCATTTGTAGTGTTTTTACAACAAAAGTAGTCAAATCAAGTGTAACACTAGCATGAAACTTCAAGGGACAACCATCGACCTTGCATTCAGCTGTCACTCTAACAATGTCATTCTTGATCATCTTTACCAAATACTCACCTCTCATTGCATAATCCCTCAAAGCTTCTCTACAAGTTTCAACATTAAGAAATACATGTCCAATCTTGAAGTCAATAGCACCTTCTTGAGGCGTGATAAAGATATTGTAATAGAATTTCTTAAATGGATCAGTTGGTTTTCTCCTTCTCCTCATGTTTATCACTTCACTTACTTCATCTTCCTCAGTTTCTAAGACAAATTCCTCATTATCAACGTCCACATCACTAAGAGCATCATTAGAGTCATCCTCTAAAACATCATCCTCACCTTCAACATGCATTTGCTTAGGCTCTAGTCAAATATCTCCAAAATTTGATCATCATCTTCATTACTTCCTGAAAACACATAGTTTTCATCCTCAGAATCACTGTCTTCAGAAACTGATCCATCATCCTCTTCTACTTCTACTTGAGTCCTCTTGTTAGTATTCATGTCACTGAACATGTATTTCTTCTTCTAGACCTCTTCAAAATGTGTAGTATTTCTTGTATTTCTTGTAGTAGTTGATCCCCTAGGTCTGCCTCTACATCTTTTTTTGTTAAGGTTGTTCACCATTGTAGAAAACAGAGTATAATCATTACATTACCTGTCCCAAACATGTGAACCTCTAAGAAACTGCCTTTACTCTCCCCCTCCAACTTCATTTTGTTCCCCACCTAAACTGTTATCAACATTGCCACCACTTAAGTCAGAAATTTCTGGATTCAAACCACTTATATTTTCTAGACCTCCAAGGTTTTCTACAATTCGAGCATTTGCATTTTGTGATTCTTCATGAATTTCTAGCATGAACGAACCTATATTATATGCAGCTTCATTGTTTTCTGTCACTGCATCTTGAGTAGTTTGTGTTTCTTCATGCATAATGCCACCCTCATTCTCAGCTTGCACTTCAGTATTCTGTGGATTTAATCCACCAACATCCTCCATGACTACTTGAGATTCCATAAAAGTCACACCACTAACTCCTGCATTAACAGTTGGTCCTACTTAGCTTTGCAAATCACCCACAACATGCTGAGAAACTTCTTCATTTTGATGCTCCAATAGCATAGGACCAATGTTGTCATCAACTTCACAATAAAAATCATCAAGCATAACTATTTTAAGTGGAGCTCTTCTGTTAGTTAGGCATAATGTGACTACTGTAGTGTCCTTAAACATCTCCAACATAAAATTGATGTCGTCGTCTTTCTCTATCTTCATATTCTATCCACATATGATATCCACATTTCCAGTTTGAACTTTGTGTAGCTCGCACACCAGTTGCAGCAGAACAATATAAGAAATTTTGTCGAGATCCACGCTATGTCATTCTCTTTGGTACAAAACTTCGATCGAATACCATGGAGGAAGCATGATAATGTTCTCTTGAAATGTAATTTATAATATCATTAATTCAATCACTCAACTACTAACCCAACTAACCCTAAAATCCCAAATATGCTACTGATATCAAAACAGTGGATCAAAAACGTGTAATAGACTTTTCTTAAAGCGCAAAATGATGATGACAGAAGAAAATTTCAAATAAAGTAACTAATTTTGCAAAATATGGAAGAAATTTTAAAAAAATTACCTTCAATCCTTCCGACCCCTGATCTCAGGAGAACGGAGAAAGAAAGTAACACGTCCAACACGTCCATTGCTTCCAAACAACAATTGCAAACAATCAAGCGAAATCCTCCATGAAAACTCAGAAAATTTATTTCTTTCGAAAGAAGTTGAGGTCTATATGAGACTTTTCATTTTCCCTCCACAAACGAAAGGGTTTTGTCCTGTCCTCCATGAAAACTCAGAAAATTTATTTCTTTCGAAAGAAGTTGAGTTCTATATGAGACTTTTCATTTTCCCTCCACAAACGAAAGGGTTTTGTCCTGTCGTACAGGGCAAATTCATCTTTATACACACTTTTAACCAAAAAAACCATTAGATCTTGGAGGAACCCCTTCGTAAGACGGAACATTAACCTCCAAAACTAAATACATAATTTAAAAAATTGACTCAAAAAATTAATTTTATAAAACCTAAGGGACTAAATAATTATTTTCCATAATTTTTTACTGAAGAAAAAACCTAGACTACATGGTAATTACATCAAAAATTTTATTTGCAAACAACTCCTTTAATAGTGTAGCGACATGAAATTTTATATACAAGCAAATTACCAGTAAACTTGCAAATGAATTCCACTAAAATTAATAAAATACATTCATCGAAACACGTCTTTAACCCATCCACAAAACGATCAAAACCCATAACCGGTAAAGATGGAATATATCTCTCTAACATTTTCTATTACTACCTATATTTTGATTGCCTCTCTCACCCATCAACGCGTTACCTCAATAAAAATTACATTAAATAATTCCAGAAAGAGATTTCTTGGAAAGAAAATAAAGAAAAAGAAAAAAAAAATGCCTGCAATCTTCCAAAATTTCAAAACTAGTGAACAAGTATTTTAGTGAGCAATCCGGTCATTCTTTAATAATTACAACATTCTCCATGTCGGAAAGCAATGTGTTCACCATCAATTAAGTCTCAGGATGAGGCGGGCCGTGCTTGCTGTAATTCCCAAATCTTTTGGAGATTCCAGCATCCGATAAGGTGTCCCAGACCTGCAAATTTCAGTAAATATAAATGACCCATATCTATTATATAATTAAATGTCATACATAAATTAGAAATACTAAATTTATATACAATAGGGTTTTTGCACTCACTTCAAGTTTTCCCTTTGAACCTCCTATAGCAAGCAAGAAAGGGCTGTCCTCAGAGAAGGAAATGGAAAAGACACCGCCCTGCATGCGTCAGAGCAGAATGTGACAATCAAATTCTTGAACTTGTAAAACCAAGTTGTCATCTGATCATTGTATCCTAAGATGGAAGTGTAGGATAAAAACACATACTGCTTTAGGGTTCTTTGATGCTACACAAGCTGGTTGGTTGTTTGACAAATCCCAAAGTTTTACCTGCACAAAATGAGAGCGGTATTGCAATTACGTGATGCATTTAATACAGCAAGCTATATGCAGGCCTATCAGAAAAAAGAAGGAAAAAACAAACACCATCGTCAAAGTACCATTTTATCTGTAGATCCAGTTGCAAGAAGCTGTCAAAAATCATAAAGGCAAACCTGTTAATATTTTAAAACACCTAATAAAAACTGAGGTTCAAAGCATAGATAATTTACATTAGGCACAGAAGGATTAAAGGAGACTGAGCAAACAGCTTTGTCATGTGCGTGGAGAGTAAAACTTGGCTTTAAATCAGAAGCTGAATTAGAGCTTGCAGTCCGTACATCAAAACCTTGGACCGTACCATCTTCAAGACTCACCTAAAAGAACAGTTAAGTTTCCATAAGTTGATTTTAATGCAAAATTATGGCAAATTAATGCTGCTCCTGCCAGCTTTCTTTGCTTATAAGAAAATGAGGAAATCCTAAAAGAAACAACGAAGCACACACCACAAATGAGTGATTACTATGGGGATCCCATGCCAAGCTTTCAACATCAGCTGTGACAGACCACTTAAAACCAGGATGCGTCGGTATCCTCCCATCCTTCTGCAATCCATAAAGAATATTATGGTCAAAAAAAGACTATCTCACAGCAAATAAGAAACATAACTTCCCCAGACAGAGTCAAGATTTTGAAAGCTCAATTGGTCATTTGAAAAGCAATATTTCCACTTCTAGGTTCAGTAGCAACCTATTTTGAAATCAGAATAAGCACAATTTCTATTACCATCACAACTGAATGATCAAAAGATCCACTGAGAAGAACTTGAGGCTCATGATGATTCCATGCAACTGCTTGAACCTGTATCGTATGAAGAAATTTGTAAACCACATCCAAAAAGAAAAATATAAAATAGCCAAAAATTTACCCATATGATGAAATAAGCTGAAACAGTATTATAAAAGACTGCCAAAAACATTCTAAAGGTGTTTTTTTTTTTTTTTTTAATTTAACAATGTCTGACATATTGGAGGAAACAGACTTCAAATATCAAGAGGCTCAGATTAGGGGTGTGCATCATTCACTTCTGCACGGTTGCAAAACCAAACAATTTAATTCGTCATTGCAGAGAACCAGACAAAACCAAACCAAAATGAAAGTAATAACTGAACTGAACTATCAAAATTAGGTTCAGTTTTGTTGCTTTTGAAACTAGAATAAAACCTGTGTTTGAAGCAAACCAAATAGGTAGTTGATCTAATTAGACCTAGGATCGAATATAGGTCACAGAAAAGGGAAACAAACCCTAGTAGTGTCACAACTCAGCAGAGGGGAGGATGAAGTCAGAGACTAAGAGGTGAATCTCAATGGCAACCAAGTGGCTGGTAGATGAGAATATTCAAAGCTCAATCTGAGGGTTGCAACTCGCAAGCCGACTCACCATGGAGGCATCTTATCACAAGCAATTCATATCTCAATTTCCATGTATTCTTTTAGGGTGCAGCCATAGCATATAGAGGTGAGTGAGGATTGAGGAGGAGACAAAATGATAAAGGTTTGAGATTGAGGCTTGAGCAGCATTGAAATTTTTCTTTTCAACTTCTCATCATACTTAAGGGTTGTTAGCAAAAGTAAAATGACAGTCTATGTATTAGGTTCGGTTTTTTGGATTTTTTTGTAACAATAAAAACTCAACTAAAATTACAAAAATCCAGAAAAACATGGCTGAACTGAATTTTCTGAACTAGTGCAGTTCCCTTTGCTTTTGGTTAAAGCTGCATATTGCTCATCCCTAGCTCAGATTAGGTAAAGAGAAAGTAGCAGTTTAAATGTCTTGCAGCCTATGCTTTGGGCTAAGAAACTTGATGGATGAATTGTAATATCTCACTGAGCATGATAAGGAGCAAATGGAAAACAAATGAATACAGCATAGCAAATGGTTCAAACAGCCAGGAAAAGCAATATAAATAAAGAAGGTATTCTTACCTTGTCTGTATGGTGCTCCATCGTAATATCACATTTTCCAGTAGCCACATCCCAAATTTTGATTTGTCTGTCAGCACTAGCGCTAGCAAGGATATTCCTGCATTTATTATTATTTTTTTATCAGCAATCAGAGCAATAAATTTATAATAGCATTCTAGAGAAGCAAGAAAAAACTCAAAACCATAATTCAACGCACCTATAATGTTTGTTCCAAGCAAGGCCAAGTACAGAATCAGTGTGACTGCCTTCTTTGTATTTGGTTGATGTCTGACATGAGAGGTCACAGAATTAGTAAACGATGCAAGCACAGAGAAATATGTCCATCAGGTCCACAACATAATTACTGTTTCTGAGTACATTAACACTGCCAGATATGGAACCACAGTATCAAAAACATACTCAAATCCAAGCTTTATGATTGCAATACTGTACTGATCCTACAAGGTTGTACATTTTAAGGCTCAATCTGTAACGGAGTATGCTAAAACTCGACAAAGTTGAACCTTCGACTTCAATCCCCATGGAGGCACATTTATTCGCCACAGCAATATTCATATCAACTTTCATCAATTGCCTCCATATAGTATTCTTTTCACCTCCTAGTGATTGGAGGATGCACAAGCAATTTTAAGACAATAATAAGAAGATTGTGATGTGAGGACGTTTTTGAAGAGGAGAGACAAAATGCATTGATAAAACGTTTGAATGGATTTGAGGCGTTTTTGAGGCAAGCATTGGAAATCTCTTTCTCTTTTTCAACTTGCTCATTCATACTTAAGGTTGTTAGCCACAGTAAATGACAGTACTTGGTTATATAGGTTCGGTTCTTCTTTAAGGATTTTTTAAGATCATAATCCTTAACTATAAAAATTTGTAACAATAAAAACTCAACCTAAAATTAACATTAAAAATCCAGAAAAAATCACTGGCTAATTCTGAATTTTTCACCTGAAACTGAAAATAGTTTTGCAAAGTTCTTTGCGGTTGATGACGGTTAAAAGCATGCATATTGGCTCATCCCTAGCTCAGATTAGGAAAAGAGAATAGTAGCAGTTTAAAATGTCTTGCAGCCTATTGCTTTTGGGCTAAGAAACCTTGATGGCATGGAATTGTAATATTCATGAGCATGAAAGGAAGCAAATGTGAAACAAAATGAATACAGCATTAGACAAACAATGGTCAAACTCACGCCAGGAAAAAAGCAATATAAAGTTTTTAAGAAGTATTCTTACCTCTGTTCTGGTATGAGTGTGGCCAATCCATTCCCGTATATATCTTCACAGCATTTTTCTCCAGTAGCACACCTCCAAAATTTTGATTTGTCTTTGTCAGGACTTAGCGCCCAAACCTAAAGCAAAGGATATTTCCATGCATCATATATATAATTATTTTTATTTATCAGCAATCACAGCAATAAAATTTTATTAGGAATCAGGGTTCTCTAATCTATGAGAAGACCAGAAATAAAAAAACACTCCTAAAAACCACATTAAATTCTAAACGCACCTTATATGTTTGTTTTCCAATGGACTTTTTGCCAAGGCAAGATTACAGAATCAGGTCCGCGTAATGGCTGCCTTCTTTGTATATATAGTTGGGTTTGATAGTCTGACTATAATGAGAGTTCCAACACGAATAATAGTTATAACCGTTATTGCAAAGGACATAGAAATCATCTGCTCATCAGAGTCCACAATGTAACTTACTGTTTCTTTGGTACATTGACTACTGCCAGAGTTGGATAGTCACCATGTGGCGTCATTCAAGAAAAACTTATACTATTCAGAATCTCAAAGCGTCTATCATGATAGTACTGCGGCCCGCATACTGCTAACTCGTATCCTACTGAAAAATGGTGTACCCTTTGTAAGCAAATATGAGATTCATTGCCATTTATAGCCCCGAATACAGTTTCTACAATCCGGACGCGTTATCAAACCGGGTAATTTATTATACAACGATATGAATTAATCAAACAGCACAATCACAGACTAATAAAGGAATCAAATTATAAAGCTAATACTATTCGTACCTTCAAATGCATTGCATCGCAATTATTAAGCAGATGTTGCTTTAGTCAGCTAGTCCTGTATGTAGACTTGGATGGCAAATAAGAATAGGCCTAGGAACTCGCGGGTTAAGTTTTTGTTATGATAGTCCCCATGAAAGCGATTTTTAATTCCAACCAGACCACCGATGTAATGAATTATGTATAAATGAAGTTGAGGTAATACATAAGGTCACCAACGTAGCGATGATGATTTTTCAAAATATTGTTAGATTAGGAACGCATTATTATAATTTTGTCTATAAGCTAATATATTCATAATTCAAATGCATTGCATGCTATTAAGCAATTTGATTTAAGTCATAGGTCTGTATTAGACTTGGATGGAAGATCTGGAACGGTTAAGTTTGTTGTTTGTCCCATTGAAAGCATTTTTAATTCCAACAGAAAGATATGAATTATGTATAAATGAAGTTGAGTAAACATAAGATTCACCAAAGTAGCATGATGATTTTCAAAATATTGTAGATAGAACAAAATAAAATTATATAATTTAATAATGTAATTAAAAATCTATAGTAGGCAACTGCATATGAGAGATGATTATATATTGTAAATAGAAATAGCTTTTTATATAAAAATAAACATGGACTACAATAAATATAAAACATATATAGTTTAGATATTTTGCTTTATCATAATTAACTCAAATCAAAAGATTAAAATTGTTAAAGAAAGTAGAAATCGACCTTCTTCCCTTTTTTCTTCTTTTTCTTCTCTTCAACAACACCACCTAAAATTAGAGATGGTTGCACTTCATCAATCTGAGAACAGCGAAACTAGATGAGATTCTGCAACTATCTTTAAAATATAATAAGCTTATATTTTATGTATTTATATAATTCAAATTCAGGATCCACGTACAATGTCAAGATCCCATATCTCAATGGAAGGTTCCATTGAGCCCACAGCGATAAAATTTCCTGGGAATATACAAAATCATCTATCAGTATGATGGCTCCAAAAAAATAAGCTGAAAAATATATACACAAACTGAGATGCAGATTCCTTTTTTTAAAAAATTTAAAACAAATGTAAGTTATAAATGCCAAGAAAAAATGAACAAATCAGAAAAGTTTCAATGCTATATGGCAAACCTATGAGTTAATATACCTTTTTCTTCCCCTTTAAGTGGACAATCAAGCCATGCAGTACATAAAGGGAATGCAGACAGGACAATATCATGGTGAACATACATGTTTGAATCGCCATCCTCCGATTCCTCATATATCCAAACCTGCTCATAAATGATGAGTGCTTCATCAGATAGATAGAGAGGGTAAGAGATAGAAAGAGAAAGATCTCCAACCAAAACCTACATACCTCAAGGTGACTAAATTCATCCTCGTTACGTGCACAAATTATGACTGCATCTTTTGGTTTAATAGTCATGTCCTCAAGCTCTTCCGAATCTTCATCATCCTGCCAAAAACTTGTCCTCCATCAGAAGTCAAAGATAAAGAAATTAGATCCATAACATAAGAAAGTAGTCAAACTTACATCTTTCTCCTTTAGATACGGGTCCATATCATTGGTTGGGTAGTAAAGGTCCCCTAGTCCTTTACTGAATAGCTCAATGTCTGAGGCACACAGATGAACAATTAGCTGTATCAATTTCATATAAACAAAAACAGTTCCTAAGGAATCAAGAAACTACAATCCACGGATTTAATGATACTATCCTCAACACAAATTGCCAATTAAGCAAAGGATCCTAATCCATTCCTATTATTTCTTGAAAAACAAATAAGAAGTAAAAAAGTAAGTAATGCATAAAAAGATAAATAGTAGTCAGATATGTTCTAGTAATACCTTCATCCTCCTCATCATAATTATCCATGTCCAGTTCCTTTAGCCCATTAGTTATGTCATCAAATTTGGTTGTTGGCTTGTTATTCTCAGGAGTTCTACCAAGAGCATCTGCTACAGCTAATGCTTGTTTTACTTCATCAGTCTGCTTGGAAGTATCAACTTCCATATCTTCATCATCATCTTCCTCACTGCCGCTTTCTCCACTGCATCAAGGCATAAAAAAATTCATTCAATGTAATCATTAAACAACAAATGGAGCATAAAACAGAATTTTCGATTCAATAATTCTACTCAGATGCATTTAAATAACTTTGATAAGATAAACCTCAATAATCCTCCAAGGAATTCACATGTGAATGAAAATAGTAAAAAAAAAAAAGTAAAGCAATTGAAAATTATAAACAGTGAATTATATGACTCCTTATAAGTAAAACAAAATCAAAGAAAATACTAAATAAAAAAATAATTGACAAATTACCTTCTCTCTAAAGCACCAGCCTTTATCATCTCTTCAATTTCCTCTTTGGAAGGTGGGTCTGCCACAGCTGGAACAGACTTTGCAACCCCTTTGGGCACCCATGATACTGCCGCTATCATTCTTCAGTGATACTCACCCTAACTAAACTACAATAACTGAAGATCGGTGCACCAAGAACGGCGGTGGGGCAAAAGTATAAAGATGAATAGAGAGAAAAAAAGTTTGCGAGTGCCAGAGACTGACAAAGACGAGAAGGAAGAAACAAGGAGCGGCAGCGTGACCGAGAAAAAGCAATAGGGTAAACGATGGAAGGGTTGAGTTGTGGAAGACAGGCGACTCAAGGAGCACACGACGCAGCAGAAAGAAAAAAATGTAGGAAATTTCAATTTTACATGGTATTAAAACGACAGTGTTTCAGTGATTTGGAAGAGGGATGGTGCTTGCTAGGGTCTCCGTGACTTAGTTTTACTTGGGGCCTATTGGCCAACTAGTCGTGATTAAAAATTATAAATTATTTGAGTATTTATTTTTATTGAATTATATGTCATGTTTAAAATTTTTTATTTATATCTACGTATTAAAACCAACAATAAAAATAATTGAAAATATTTTGAGTAAATTAATTTTAAAATTAAAATTATCTATATGTATATTTATTAATTAAAAACACTAAATAGCCAATAAAACTAAAAAAATTTAAAATTATAATTGTCTATATCTATATAGTTATTAATTATAAATTAGTTTAAAATTTAAAATTTAAAATTTTAATTACTTACATCTCTATTAATTATAAATTAGTCTATAAAAAGTTTATACCCAATGCAATAAAATAATGAGAAAATTTTAAAACATTTTATATATTATTATTTATTGTAGTACTTGATAGTTGAGAGTATTATTTATTGAGACAGTTGATATTTATTTGATATTTTTTTAGGCTTTATATAATAAACAAATGTAAAGATATAAATTAATTTAAGAAAATAAAAATAAAAAATTAAATTTGAAAAAGGAAAGAAACGAAAACATAATTAATCACTGTTGTCATAATAGAGATTTATCCATTTAACCCTTTTACTTTTTATTAATTACATTTTTATCTTACAACGTTTTCTTTTAATCTTTTTTTTCTTTTTAATTAAATTTTTGCCACAATAATATTTTTCCCACTTAATCCGTTTATTATTATTTGATTACATTTTTACACAACATTATTTTCCGCTTAACCTTTTTGTTATTCTTTAATTATATTTTTGTCATAACTTAAACTTTAGTCATTCATTTTTGTTAAGTTAAATTTTTTTATTTTTGTAAGTAAAACTTAATACGAGTTTTCCATTGCATTTTTTAAATGTATAATTATAAGTATTTTGAATAGTTAATTTTGTAATATATATAATTGATGTACTTTTAATTTATATACAAAAAATTATTAATGGTTAACTTTCTTTGTTAATTTGATTTATTTTCATATTTGTTTTATTTTTTTTAGACTCTATTAATCAATACATGTCATATATCCTTTTCTGTGAAAATCATTAAAATTTAAAAATTTTAGTAGTTTACGTATGTACATATTATTATTTACAATTATCCATCAAAATATTAAATAATAAAGATTGATAATGATTTTTTTCAAGGCAAGTAAAAATTAATGTTTTAAACTTATATAAAACTCTACTGATACTATTTTTCAAATAATATTTTTTTATTTTTTTATTAGTTCAATTAATAAAATAATAATATTTGATATTTAAACCCAAGAACAATAATACCTATATAAATTTATATTTTTAAGATTTTTTTTGTCCAAATTGACTCAAATTAAAATTTCAAAGATAACAAAAATAATAAAAACTAATTTTAATTTTATTATATAAATTGCCCATTTTTCATTTGGAAATTATTATATATCTAATAGATTCACATTAAAATACTTTTTTTTCATACATTCACATTAAAAACTTTAGTTCAGATATTAAATTGACAAAGTATTAGTTTTTAGTCAAAATAATAAGTTGTATACTTATAATGAGTAAATTAATTAAAATAATAGATAAGACACTAATTTTGACCTTTAATATATATTTAAATGTACATATAATTTAGTATAGATGTAAAAAAAAGTGTCTTATTATTTATAGTATTTTATGCAATATAATCTAAATTCTATATTAAAAAATTACATATTTATTGTAGTACCTAATAGTTGAAAGTATTATTTATCGAGACAGCTAATATTTATTTGTGCAATCTATTAGTTTTTAGTCAAAATAATAAGTTGTATATTTATAAGTGTGGAAAGGTAGGACACCATAAGTCGCTGTACAAGTTGAGAGAAAAAATAAATAATTTTGATATATCGGATAAGTTAAAGCAGCAAATGATGAGTTTGCTTCTCACCGATACAGACACAAATTTAGAAATAAGTAATAACCCTGAAGATTTATATAAAATAGAATCTAGTTATTCAGAAGGTAGTCCAAGTGATATAAATAACTGTGAATTCGATGATTCCTGTATTTGTAAGATAAAAAGTATAAATGTAGTTGCTAAAGAAACAGATTTTCTTTTAGACTGTATAGATAAGATTGAAGATAAGGATGTTAAAAGGCAATATTTGTTCAAACTAAAAAATGTAATATCACACAAAGACGAAAAATAATATGAGCCCTATGAGTTAAAAGAAATATTTAATAGGTTCAATAACAATAAAGAGAAAGTTTCCCCTTCTTTAGCCGACCTACAACGAGAAATTAAAATAGTTAAAAGAGAGATAGTAAAAAAACAAGTCGTCTTAACTAATGTTATATGTATCTTTTATTGTCGTTTAATCCTAATATCAAATAATTATAATCACAAATTACCCACTCACCTTTTATTATGTAAAATAAAAACAGTATATATTATGAAATAGTTATTGATGTAGGGACATTGCTATTATTTTTTATATTATAGTCCAATTTCGGAGGTGAATATAGTCCAACTACCCCCACCTAAATTTTTAAGAGTATATTAAATAATAATAAGATATAAAGAGATATATTTGTTAGGGGAGAAAACCCCGGTATATTAATTTCCACCACGCCCTCGCTTGTAAAATTCAAATGGGGACCGAACCAAACACGTACCGAATATAAATATAATATATAAATAATTGCGGGGGTTGGAGATAACGGTTAAGAAGCCACGCCCTATAAAATAACTGCAAGATATATTTTGCTCATTATATCACAGAATAAAGCACCACCCAAATTTGAAAATAAGTAATAACCATGAAGATTTAGATTTTTTTATTATTATTAATAAAATGCACAGGTTTAGTTTCAGAAAAAATCGGGGTAGGTCCAAGTGGTATAAATAACCTGTGAATTCGATGATTCCCTTGTATTTGGAAATCACAAATATAGAATCGGAGTTTCTCGCTCAAACCACACCCAGAAGTTACTTTAGATCTCTGGTAAAAAAATCAAAGATTAAGAAAACGATAAGGATGTTAAAAAGGGCAATATTTGGTTCAAACTAAAAATGTAATATCACACAAAGACGAAAAATAATATAGCCCATAACTGCAGTAAAATTGATATTTTATTAATTAGGTTTAATATATACAAACGAAATATACCGATAAGAACCAGGAGTATACACATAAAACAAGAGAAGGATATAATAAAAGATATGAATATGAGCCCTATGAGTTAAAAGAAATATTTAATAGGTTCAATAACAATAAAGAGAAAGTTTCCCCTTCTTTAGCCGACCTACAACGAGAAATTAAAATAGTTAAAAGAGAGATAGAAGAATTAAAGCAAGAACATAATAAATTAAATAGGACATTCTTCAGTTACAAGTTAAAAAAATTATAGATGTTCAAGCAGAACCCTCAGAAAATAAGAAACATTATCTTATGATGAGTTTATTAATGTAATATCTAAAGTAAGCTTTCAGAAATGAATACTTTTAGTTAAAATAGTTGTTACTAATGATTTTCATTTAACTACGACTGCATTAGTTGACTCTGGTGCAAATCAAAACTGTTTACAAGAAGGATTAATTCCAACTATATATTATGAGAAAACTAAAGAAAGGCTTTACATAGCTGATGGTAGTAAGTTAAGAGCAGAATATAAATTAACAAAAGCAAAAATATGTGCTGACGGTTTTTGTTTTAAAACGCCATTTATTTTAGTTAAAAATCTTACTATAGGAGTAATACTAGGAAAACCCTTTTTAGCTACTATCTATCCCTTTAAAGAAGATAATGAAGCATTAAAAACAAATATCTTAAATAATCAAATATATTTTAAATTTATGCAACCAATTAGACAAAAGGATTTAAGTGCTATACAGGGTATTTTTATATATAAAGAAATAAATCTTATTGAACAAAAACAAAAACATATTAGCTATTTGAAACAAGAGATTAATAACATTAGAATTCAAAATCAATTACAACAAACTCACATACAATAAAAAATAAAAGACTTTGAAGAACTGTTAAATAAAGAAGTATGTTCAAATATTCCGAATGCCTTTTGGTCTAGAAAACAACATATAGTTCATTTACCTTACATAAGAGATTTTGATGAAAAAAATATTCCAACTAGATCTAAAGCTATACAGATGAATAAACAATTACAAGAATATTGCTACAAAGAGATAAATGATTTATTAGATAAAGGGTTAATTAGAAAATCTAAGTCCTCTTGGAGCTGTTCAGCTTTTTATGTTCAAAATGCGGCATAAATAGAAAAAGGAGCACCCAGGTTAGTTATTAATTGGAGGGACGGAGAAAGAGATGAATGTATAATTTTAATTGTGGAGTGACGGTAATTGTTAAACTAAAATGGAAAGGAGAATACAGTCTAGGCAAAGTAATATAATACACATAAGTATAAATAATCATGTTATTAGCTAAAGCAAAATAATAATTTAATAAAAGTAATTTTAAATTAAAACAGATGTAAAATGAAAATTGTATAAAAGAAAGCTTTATTACTTACAAGAAAAGAGAGCACAAAACTTTTGAAAGAGCAAGGTAGTGATAACACAAGCACGCTTCTTCTAAAACCTCTACATTTCTCATAACGTAGTTAGCTATTTATAGAAGAGTATGGACTTCATTTGAATTAAAGTTCGGATAGTTATCATCTAATAAGATAAACCTTATCCAAATACATAAATCTGATGGATACAAAACTGGCTTTAATGTTCCCTTTGGTCACTATGAGTGGAATGTTATGTCATTTGATTTGAAAAATGCCCCTTTTGAATTTCAAAATATTATGAATGATATCTTTAACAATTATTATGAGTTTTCAATAGTTTACATATATGATGTGCTTATTTATTCAAATGATATTGATCATCGCTTTTCTCA